TTATTTCTGGAATTTTCCATTTAATATTTTCAGAGTGCGGTTGACCACAGGTAACTGAAACCGCAGAAAGCAAAGCCGCAGATAAGAGGGGACTACTGTACTTGAGCAGTCCTTTAAAAACTACTCTGATGACCCATTTCCAATGTGTGTTGATCTTACTGGATTGCTTTTGAATTATTTTCTCCTCTTGTATTCGTGGGTGTTGTAAAGACCTACATGACCATTCATCAGCTGTTGGTCATCACAGAGTCCGCTTGGGCAACAGATGGAAGTGAATGCAAATGGCACAGAGCACTTAGCTCAGCCGCTGTGCATGAATGCTACTCTGGTCCTAGCCTGGTCCTGGATTCTAATTTTGATCCAGAAACTACCCTTCAGTCTGCCTGTACCATATAGACTGGGCTCTGTGACTAACCTGGAAGTTTGGCCCAGGGCTTCCAAAGTTTCCAGATAAGCTGGAGCCAGTAGGGTCTCTAGGGAGTCTTGGGCAAGATGTGTTTATTTCCCAATTCAGAAGAGAGTTTTTTCTTGTCAGTTTAGACTTCCTGCCCAGGGCAGTTCAGAATTGGACGGGTTTGGGGGCAGTATTCACTAAGACATTGTCTTACTGCATTTGATCATTTTCACAAATCATTTATCATCACAAATATCATTAATTACCACTTCCCTGTTATTGTTTTTGTTCTGATGTCCTAAATTTGAAAACTGGTAACTGGACTGTAAGTTTCTTTAGGGTGAGGACTGGGTGTTTTAAATTTTGTATTCCTAACATCTACCACAAGGTCTGGGAAATAATAACTTCTCAATAAATGTTGATGTCTAGAAAATATGGCTGAAGAAATGGTTGTGAAACATATCCCGAAGTCACTGTACTTATTTTATCCTTCTCCTATCCTTTTTCACTCTTATTTCCATCTCTCTTAGACCAAAGTCCTAGATGATTTCTAGCATCATGTGTTCATACTGCCTCCTGTAACTCTTCCTTCATACCTCTTCCCCCAAATTTTGTCCATTTTTTAAAAATAATGTTTTATTTTCTCCCTTGGCTTTGTCCTTCATGTTTAAATGATTTTAAACATTATTCATATCTCCATCTGACCCTTCTATTATCTCAATTTCTTACTGGTTCTTGCTGACTTCTTATGGTGAATTGTTTCCACATGAGAGTGTGGCTTAGGCTTGTGAGCTCCTCTTCAGTGGGGCTTTGATCTGTGAGGGTCCTGGGTATTGGATTGAGGGCACGTCTCTTCAGATAGGTTTTGTTTCTTCTTCTTGGCACCCTAAGGGTATCCTTGGCCTAGAACCGAATTTTATACCTATTTTTCAGCTTGAAAGTTCCTGGAATATACAGAGATTGTGAATTCAAAACCCCAAACCACATGAGGGCAGACTCAGGGGATGCAAATGCTCACTGGAGACACTTTTATTCCCCCACCAAGAATCTAGGCTAAGGCATCACTTTGCCATCTGCCTGGGGAGTGTTTGGCTTTTGTTTGAGCCTACCATTTCAACTCAAGAGTCTTTCCTCAAGACCACTTCTAGGGTCTTTCTCTATGTGAGGGTCTCAGTTCCAGTTCTCCACCTCATCTCCCATCCCCGAGCAAGTGTTGAATACCAAGCCCCTGGAGTGTTGACTTCTCCCTGTAGTATAAGCTCACGTGCGTCCAGCTTTGGTTCTCAGATTGCTCTTCATTTCTGGCCCCACGCTATTTAATTTATTGTAAGCTCATTTAAAGGGATGTTTACTATATGTTTGTCACATTTTTTCCAAAATATCTTGGGAGTATAATGGAAAGGTTTTTAGACTATCAAGGCAACTTCTAAGATGATTTTCTTGCTTCCATTTTTATAAGGAAAAAAGTTTCAGGTTGGGAGCCAGGACACGTATTTCTCTGACATCAGTTTGCTGTGTTGGGCAAGTCATACAACCTATCCAGGACTCAGATTCCCTGTCTCTTAAATGTTGACAATAAGACAACAACACAGTTCTGAAAAGTGTGTCTCCCCTGATAGGGATGCTGTGTGATTCAAGTAGTAGAATACATGAAAAGACCTTTTGGGGGGAAAAAAGCACTTAAAAGCACTCCATAATCACCAGATAGGTCTGGTTTCTTCTTCTAGCCATCCGAGGGGTATCCTTGGCCTGGAACCTATTTCTCCTAGTATTATTACTAGTGATCTCTTTTCCCCAGAGCGTCCCCCTTCCTTCTTCTACCTTTGCCTCTCCTGCTCCATTTGTCTGGCATATGACCAAGCAGAGTGGCCTTCTGCCTAGGCAGAGGATGAACTGCAATCTCCTGACTGATTTCACTTGATTGAATATGGTGATTACTGTGGCTCTGTTATTCACCCCTCAACTCATGATCCTGTATATCACTCAGGTTCCTTGCTAGAGAGTGGGCGTTGGCCAATAGTAGAAATGCATTGTTATTTGAGTTAAGGTCTTAATGGCACAGGAAATTGTTTATATGGTTCTGCTGCTTCGGAGAACCAAAGGACTGCTGCCTGAGGACAGATCTTCCCTGCAGTGACCTGTCTATCACATGGCACTGAGAGAGAGTACCAATTGGCATAGTTGTTCTGGAAGCTACAGGAAACCTTTAAATGCATATTAACAGGGAAACTGGGATTTACAATTGAGAGTTTTTACAATATGATCTCACATAACACACCCATTTTATATTACAAAAACTTCAGTTTGAACAAGCCATGTCATAAAAGGGGCCACAGAATCAGCAAAGCCAGTTACATAATGACAGGTCAACCAGATTTAGACATCGGGGTTTTCTTGGCTGTTTATTTGAGGCCAAGTTCTCCAATAGACCACTGACTGTGCTTCAGGTCAAATGAAGTCATAATTTGGTTTGGGTTAGTCCTTGTTTAAATCATTTAGATAAGGTTTAATTTGTTGAACCAAACCCTAGAACCAGTTCAATTCACAGAAGAACATATAATTATACAACTTTTATCCCAAGACTCAAGAGAAGTTTTTCAGTAGATATAGTGGAGATTCAAAGGGAATATGAGGCTAAAATGGAAAGTGCTGGTAGAGATATCAACAGAAGAAATAGAAACAGAGAACATTGGTGAAAGTCTGGTCTCAGTTCTTTGTAGAGTTCATTGCACAAATTAAGACACTGATTCTCAAATAAGCAAACATGTTTTCTAATATTGAATCTTTATTTTCACAGAAATAGCTGTAAGAGGATTAACCATGGTTGTATATCTTCCTGAATTCTCTAAGCCATACCATTATTTTATATGGAATAGTTACATGACTGCCCTATTTCCACTTATCTGTAGTAATTACCTGCAGCATGCAGAGACAGTATAAATTCCCAGCTAATTCGGACCCCTCTTTTTATCCACTTAAAAGTTAGTTCATCCTTTCGTAAAACCTATTTACCAGGCCTCCTAACAAATAGACTGGTTTGAAGATCAGTTCTTGTCACGTCCCCTGCCTGCCATCTGTTTTGGTTATTAGTGAGTCAGGAAGTGCCTAGAAGCAGTATTCTGAAAGAGGCTGAGAAAGAGCAGAGGGCCCGAACTGTCAGAAAGCATAATCATATCCTTGGGCCAATCAAAGGTTGTTAAGTGGGTTGTATAATCAAGTGATAACAGGAATGATGACTAAAATCAATAGCGAGTCCACGAATCTCTAAACTAAAGAGCATGCTGGTTTTAGGAGAAACCTCCAAGACAGCACACTGGCTTTGGTTACCATTGTTATGGAGCAGTTGATGGAAGTTTGTAGATGAGACCATGAACATAGACCAGTTCAGTTTGTCTAGTTAATGCTAAGCACTTAGTCTGCTGCTGCCATGGGGATGGGGGGAGGACTACCTGTTCTTTACCCTGTGGGAGTTCTCAGTCTTGGAGGGAAGATAGCACACAACTGTCTATGCTGATGACAATAATGGTTGTGCACAGAGCCCTTGCTGTGCATGGGCCAAGCCTCATGTCTGCCTGGGGCTTTATTTACTTACATTATCTTGAATTCTCTTATCAGCTCTCTAAGGAAGATATTACCTCCAATTTACAGATGGGGAAGCAATATTTTTCCCCCTGAGTGTTATTGTGCTGCTCAGCACAATGTGTTAAATGCCTTGCCAAGACTTAGACTGGAGTCTGGCAGGCGAAGGGCCAGTCTTGGCTCTGCTGTATAGCTGTGGGGTCTCGAGGAAATTTCTGAATTTATTTGAGCCACAGGTTTCTTATCTATAAAACAGAGATGGTAATGTCTACCTCGACGCTCAGCTTCAATGTCAGCATCCTCAGACAGGCCTTACTTGACCGCTCAGAGGAATCTTATTTCCATCTCCCCAGTCACTTGATCCCGTGACCTTGTTTTAATTTTATCGCCTTTATCACCGTCTGAAATGGTTCACATTACTATTGTCGGCCTCCCCACTTGAATGTAACTTTCATGATGGCAGGGACTGGGGCCTGTCACGGTTACCCCTCTGTCTTAGAATCTGGTTCCTGGCACATATCAGGCCTTCAATAAGTATTACACAATGGGCAGTGGTCTAGGCAGCAGTTAATGGGGTTAGAAAGGAGAAAATGACTATTCTTATGTTTAATGTCCTTGCGAACAATTCCACTATGTTCCATTAGAAAGAAAATAAATCATTGAAAACTTTGAACTATACTGTTAAGGTAGCTAGAAAGGTTTGAATTTTTTTTTAACCATACTGAAGGTTTGAAGTAAATTGAGTTTCATCATCGAGTGCGTGATGGTCCATCCTTGACCTGAGCTGGGCTTCAACAAACGGAGCAGGTGGCAAATACGACACACAGACACAGAAAATGGGATCTTTTGTATATGTGACTGTGGGAGACGCTGAGAGCAACGTACAACCAGAACCCCCCTGAGTAGGTGTTTGTCCTTTACTCTCTGCCACAGGCATTAACCTCAGAGTGAGTGACCTGTCTTACTATGTTTACAAATGGCACCTCAGCTGCCACTGACTCGTTGTTTATCTTTGCCATTGTTCCAGGATTCTGAGAAGCGCACTCCGCTTCACGTGGCCGCGTTTCTGGGAGATGCAGAGATCATTGAACTCCTGATTCTGTCAGGTAAATACCAGATATACTTAAAAGTCAACTGCAGATAAAAGTTTAAATGACCAGTTTTCCAGACTGACTACTACAATGAACCCAAATAAAATTTCTTCATTGTGTTCATGGAAGTTTATTTGATCAGCCATTTTATCAGTAGACGAAAGACAATGCAAGAAGTTGTTCTTATTGAAAAATGACTTCTCCAGTAAAACTTTTACATTGCTTTGAAAGTCTGATTCCTGACTCTCTAGTTAAGCTCAATGTTGTAGGTGAATTCAGTACATTTGAATATTTTAAAATCTTTTTCATTGCAAAAAAAAAGAACAAACGAGAACACTGGTTCCTTAAAATCTACATGAACATGCACAAATGTGTATATTTACATATATTAAGTTGCACTGCAAAACTGCTATGTTTTGTTTATGGACTTTGCTATGTTTTGTTACATGACTATGACTATGTAAGCAAAGCATAAAAACATAGAAGGAAAGGAAACATCAATTTCTAGATAGCAGTTACCTCTGAGGAAGCCGACCCAGTGAGACATGTCTTCAGGGAAGGGTGTAAAAGAGATTGCAACTCTATAAAATATTTTATTTTTTAAAAATTGGAAGCAAATATGACAAACACATGTTAAATTGGATTTGTGTGTACACTGGTGTTTGTGATACTATTCTCTTTATTTTTCTATGTATTTTAAATATTTCATCAGATTTAAAAATGTCCAATGCTTTCATGTTTGGAAACCTGTATGCTTAGTACATCTCACCAAACGAGTTTCTCCCTTGAGTATTTGTTAGACAAATCCCTGGAATGAATCTGAGCACGTGCACATGTCTCAGTGTGGATTATATGCAGACCAGCTGGCTTTCTTCCTCCTCGTTTTTGTTTAGGGAGATTCAAATCTGGAGAAAATGCCTCTGCCCACAAATTATGCAAAAGGCCTATCGGAAAGTTTTGCCTTTGTTTGCAGCAGTAAAGGGAAACTGTAGAATTCCAGAGTAAGCTGTGCAAAGGTGGGAGCTGATACACGCATATGGGGAGAATGTTGTGGAAAGGAAACAAGGATTGTGCTGTGATACACAGGAAGGTTCACATTGCCCTTATTTTTGTTGTGTTCATGTTCTTGAGGTGAGTTTTCCCAGGGAACAAGAGTTCTGTGCTGTGCAATGCATGTACCCCGTGGTCCTGACGACCACATGGAGCTTAGGTTAGATTTCTTGTGGCGTTCCTTGTACTCTGGGGAACAGGCCTTCCTCTGACAATTCTAAGGATGTTCCATGGCTGTGTTCCAAACAAACATATAGTGTTTGGTGCTGGCACAGACTATGGCTAAGGGCCAGCGCACACCTGGCTGGTTGCCCCAGCAGTAGAAATATGGCCCATAGAAAATTGTAGACAGGATCCGTGGGGGTGTAAAATGAAGAATTTTGTGGTATGACACCTAATGGTCCCAACCAGGTATAACCACCATCCAAGTGTTGTTTTAAGAGACATCTCAGAGTCTCAGAGGAATGTTTGGTTCACGAATGTGCAAATTCAAACCTTTGTCTTAGATCCCCAACTTTAGTTTTTTGTTTGTTTTTCCACATCTGAAAGGGAAAGTTTTAATTCTGCAGCATGAAGTTGACTCATCTATTTTCCTGGTGATTAAGAAACTTGATTTCACATCGCCTTCACGTGGGCGTGGAGTCCAGCAACCTCTCTTAACTGGAGCTCGTTCAGTAGAGCCAGGAGGAACTGTTCCATGTATCTTGATCTTTACACCTATTGGTCTTGGAATTACTGAGCTGTTAACCTCTGTAGTATAATTTTGGGTGGCACATGCTATGGAATTTTTCTTCCTCCCCTCATCAAATTAGGAAGACTTAGGGTATGGGAGAGCATTGGGAAAGTTCTTTAGAAATTTTACTCAACTGTGGAAGTTTAGGTGAACTCTTGGAATTCACATGGCTTTAGTTTCCCCAAAAGGTGCTTTATTCAATTTGTATGTTATATTCCTAAAGAAATATCATTGCAACAGCACGATGATTTCATCTCTGAGCTTAACTCTGGCAGCCAACCCTTTAGGGAATCCAACCGTTTTCCATTTTAATAATGAATAAGGTGCTGATGATTCCTGTGTTGGACAAATAATTTGGCCTTGCCGGACTAGCCCATTACAGCTGTGTTCTGCTTTGTTGTGTTAACTTACAGAGCATAGTGTAACCCAAGCCCACTAAATTCCTACTGACGTTATCTCCCACTAGCCAGGAGGATGGAACTTTGAATGCCTCTGAGCAGACAGGGAGGAATTCAGGTCTCGCAAATTTCCCCTTCTTATAACTGCCAGTCCAAATTCTGGCTTTATTTCCCCCCTGCCTCTAGCTTCTGTTTGGAAACTGGCCAAGTCAGGATCAAGGCAGAGAGAAGGTCAAGAGCTTGCTAAGTCATTTGCCCAGAGATATACGAATATCAACGTCCACTGGTCAGTGGCGAAGGGTTAGGAGACCAAGGTTGAGATATAGGAAGTGGAGCACACAGAGAGGTGGCCACAGTACCAATACCCTCTAGGGAAAGTCCAGGGACTCACAAGGGTTAGAGAATCCTGGGCTGAAGGAAGCAAACTGGAAGTACCCACTCTCTAACATGGGAGTGTTTGTGAGGTGTAACTACTAATCAAAAATGATGAATTTAGGGGCTGGCCCGGTGTTGTAGTGGTTGGGTTCATGTGCTCCGCTTTAGTGGCCCGGGATTCGCAGGTTCGGATCTTGGATGCGGACCTACACCACTCATCAAGCCACGCTGTGGCACTGTCCCACGTACAAAATAGAGGAAGATGGCACAGATGTTAGCTCAGGATGAATCTTCCTCAAGCAAAAAGAGGAAGATTGGCAACAGATGTTAGCTCAGGGCCAATCTTCCTTACCAAAAAAAGAAAAAAAAATGGAAGGATAAAGTTATGAAAATGTAGGCCACCAGGCAACTCGTGTTCCAGTAAAATTATTTCCTGTGATTTCCCAAAATGTAACTACCATTCCCAATGTAAATTGCCTCTAAAGCCAGTGGCAGGTGATGCTTTTGATTCTCTTATGCATGACAAATATTCATCATTTGAGGTTGGATTTGATATATATTTTTTTTTTGCCTGGTGAAAGAGGGGTGATTAAATCAGGCAATGGTGATTTTGGCCCCCAGTGTGGTGTGTTATAAAGTAATGAGCCATTTTCTGGTGGCTGTGTAAACTGGCCCTAAAGGCAACTCCAAGGGGAGTTTGAAAAATGTTTTGAGCTATTGACACATACATGGAATTATCGTACACTCCTCCAAGGTCATTGCTTTGAAGGACAGTGCCCCTGGGCTGTAGTAAGATTTGGTCTATTTGTTAAAAAAAAAAAAAATCAATAGCAAACTGATCTCATTATATTATAATCATATTTCATATGATCTTTATTTCACATTTATTTATTTCTACAATTAAAAGCCACACTTTGGATAAACCAGCCTTAGATCAATTATTCTCTCTGGCCTGTAAGAGTGTCAGTCAGTTCATCTCCCTTTTTTCTTTATTCTACATCTTTTTAGATGACAAGGCTACGAGAACAGAAAAATTACCTCTGGAAAAGATGCTCAGAGTTCCCTTACTCCTGATCTCTAAGAAAATAAAATCAAGCGGTAATAGAGATAAGAGGAAAAACGTACTTAATTTTAAATTAGAGTTTATACCTGATAACTTTTAGTTGGATCTTTGTTTCTGAAGAATCAGTATAGTCTAGTGTGGGTTTTTTTATGTTTAAGCTTTAACATGTCCTTGGGTAAAAAGCATTTGCCTTTAAATCATTAGGCATGCAGACTCTGTGTCCTTCAGTGCACAATGGCGCCTGACGGGCAGGTAAATAACATGAAGCTTCCTTTAAAAAATCAGTTATAAATATTCAACTCAAAACCATCTGATGTCTCCCCCCTGACATGTAAACAAGACTCCTGGCGCGCTCTGAGGAAGAGGATGAGGAAGCCAGTGGCACAGGATGACACAGATGAAATACTGCTCAGTCCCCATTCAGATAACTCTGCTTTTGTTATAATCATTTTGTTGTTCGGGGAGAGAAGGTTTTCCTGGCAGCTGCCTGTTCAACCTTCTGGAGGAGGATGAGTGGAGGAATGGAGGACTTACACAGTGACCAAAAAGAGCCACTTCCTAGATTTCTAATTATCTTTCAATTCCTCAAGTGACTCCAAATCTGCACGGAAACAATGCTGGTGTTGTTTGTTACAGGCTGGGTGTGTTGCTTTACGATGTCCAGCAAGCTCGGGGTCATTTTTCTCCGTGAAAGAATTTTAATATTAAAAGCCACATTTGGATCTATATAAAACTGAGAGTTTTCAGAATATATAAATAATAATAGCAATAACAATATGAAGTAAATGTATAAATATAAATTATAAGAAAAAACAGTAATAGAAAATAGAGGAAATGGCAAAGAATATGAACAAGCAGTTCTCAGAGAATGAATTACAAAATGCCAGTAAACGAGCATTTTAGAAGATGTCCAACCTCACTGTTAAACAAGAAAACACAAAAATGCAATACCATTTTCTTCCAATCAGATTTGCAATATTTTAAATGACCGATAATATCAAGAGTTAATGAGGATGTGCGGAAATTAAGCAATCTTATACACTGTGATTGTGTAAACTGGCACACTTTGGAGGGTTGAGAGTATCTATTAAAACCAAAAGTGTGCATGACCTATGACACAGAAAGTCCATTTCTAATTATCTATCCTAGACAAATACTTGAACATTTGCATAAGGAGTCATTTTATGGATGTTCATAGCAGCATTGTTTGAATAATGAAATACTGGAAACATTTGAAATATCCATCAATGGAGAGAATGTCTGAAAAATGGGATGTAGGGGCCAGCCCAGTGGTACAGTGGTTAAGTTCTCGCATTCCACTTTGGCGGCCTGAGGGTCGTGGGTTTGGATCCCAGATGTGGACCTACACACTGCTCGTCAAGCCATGCAGTGGTGG